AGGCCTGGCGGACGCGTCGGCAGGACGGGGAGGCGGGCGAGGACAGGACAAAGCGGTGCCCACGCTGAGCACGGGGATCCAGGGCAGCGCCCCGCCACAGAGCCGCCGGTCACAAGCACAGCCAGAGGACGCTTTACGAGACCGGTTAGGACACGCAGCTTCAAAGGTCTCTCTGAATAACACGTACCCAGGGTCAAACATCCCCAGCTGTAGCGGCTCTAAGTTACTGGGCTGCCGTGGCCTTAGGAGGCACTTATCTCCTTTAAGAAAGGGGGGAAGTTACCTAAGTGGCCAGCTGACAAATACCACCCTGCTCTTCCAGCCTGATTTCGCCTGAACTTTTGTTTGCCTTACTGGAGTGATTCAGCTTTCACCTCGTGTTATCTGGGTCATGATCAAAACAGCCTTTTAGTTACTCCACTGCCTTTCATGTATTTATATCTCATGCCTGGACTTTGCCTGCGTCGAGTCTCCTTTTCCCCAGGCTTGCTTCACCCACGTCTGTGCACAAACCACAGCCCCAGAGCAGCACGCCCCACCAACCCCACCCCGCAAACATGTACCCGGCCACCTTCAGATGAGCTGGAGCCCCAGAGCAGCCAGTCACACTCCTCACAAAAGCCATGCCAGCTACTTCTGTGCTCCTAGGGGACCTAAAGCATCTACTGGTGAGATGCAGGCTTCCCCCGGCACAAGCCACATCACTAGGCTCAACAAGCTCTGCCAGCTTTTACCCTGCAACAGAAGTTACAGAAGAAGAGCTCTGCAGATCCCCCGAGAGCAGCTCATCACCTGGGAGAGGAGGAGCTCCTTCCCTGCGCGAGAGCAATCACGCCGCAGCCTACCTTGTTTCTGCCCGGGCTACGGGCTGGCAGGGCGCTCCCCTCCTCTGCCACGGGTTTCAGCGGGGCGACGGCATTAGCTGGCTCTGGCTCTGCACCCAGGCCCTTCATGGCGGCGCGGTAGGACATGTTCCTCAGGTTGCGCTTGAGAGCCCCCCCATAGTCATCCTCCACCTCTGCCTCCAGGGAAACACTGGGAGCAGACATCCTTTTCGGGTTGGGGCACAGGGGCTCCTTGCTTGACTCCGCTGCCCCAAAGCTCTGGTGACGGGAAGGATTCTTGGTCTTGGTGGAGACAGCCAAGCTTCTGGGGATCAGCTGCTGGGTTCCCACCTTGAGTGCAACCGGGCTCTCTGTGCTCAAGATGATGCGGCGGGGCTCAGACGCGGTGGGAGAGCTCACTGCTGAGAGTGAAGCACTGTCTAGCACCGTGACAGAGCCATGCTTCCTGGGGGGAGAGGTGGGAGATGGGGGCACCCGCAGCTCCGGGTGGCATCGGTACTCCAGGATAAAGCTCTTGTCGTCCACAGAGCTGCCAGGGGGGCTCTGAGACATGATGGCAGCACAGGGAACCAGGAAGCTGCTAAGACAAATAAAGAGATAACTGAAAAGCCTTCTTCCACTGTGGCAGAAGACAGTTATATTTAATTGCAGGCAGCGCACCAGTTCGCCCCAGGAACCCACGAACCAGCCCAGGAGCTGACTCCAGAAAGCCAGACACAAGTACCCGAACACACAACTTTGCTTTGTGTATGTTCACCATTATCCCTGAGCGCCTTTGCAGAGATGAAGGGCCTCATTTTACCCCCTTGCTCCTCAGAGCTTCTCCCATCCCAGACAGTGAATGAGGTGGTTTTGAGCCTGAATGGCTCAAAGAAATCAGGGACAGAGTGGAATAACCTGTGTTTGTCCTTATCTGCTTTCACGTGCTACATGCAAGTAGAGTCAATGTAAATGCACTTGTGATTCATCCCCCCACCCCTTGCACACCACTCACAGTTGGTAACTTCAGCAAGTGCTGACTTCTGGCCTAAAAGAAATGAAGCAGCTGCATGTGGGCAGCTTCTCTGGCACTGCCGTTCCTGCGGGGCCCCACTGACGCCGCTACGGGGAACAGAAATTCAGCTGCCCTGAGTCATTAGCGTTATCCTTTGCCTTGCTGTCTGCTGCGCTTTGCACTGCCCCCGCTGTCTTTGCCAGGACGATGCGCTGTGAAAATCCAGGTGTGCAGCTTGCCAGGAGCCTCAGAGGCCTTAAAGGTTTTACTTGTCTCAGAGCACGCTCTACGCGGAGCGTGCAAAAACACCTGTCCCCCCTAAGGCACCTACTTCGGGTACCCTTACTCATCACCTTCCTCCATCCCATGCTTCACACCTTCCGTCTGCAGAACAAACATCTGTTGGAGCATTTTACACCCCCGACCCACCCTGTTACATAATCTGAGGAAAAACCATGGGCCAGCTTGTCCGAACTGAGACCTCTTTGTGCACCGCTGCCATCCCTGAGCTGTTCCTTTTCAGAGCCCGTGGACCAGGAAACAGCCCAAGACTTGAACTTACTTTCCTGTATCAATGACTGGCAAAAGGACAAACCGGGCCCACGAACAAAAGCCCCCTGGACCACAATGCCCCTCATTTTCCCGTGCTTGGAGGGGGACGCGTGCCTCTTGGGCAGAGCTCTGCCAAGTATCCCGCGGCCGACGAGAAAAGCGCCATATCCCGCCCTTAACCCTGTCTTGGCTGAAGGTAAGGCCCACCCTCCCGCTCTGGCCCTAAAAGTAAGAACCAGGCGCGCAGCATCCCCCGCGTCCCCGGCCGCCTCGACACGCGT